AGCATGGCCCCTGCGCAAGGATGACACGCAAATTCGTGAAGCGTTCCAAATTTTTTGTCAGTTTCCAAGTGTTATGAATATTTCATAATCGCTTGACATTAACAATCGAACGAGTACATGACAGTGAGGGAAAGGAAACGCTTTGTTATCGTTTTAAAAACTTTTGTTGTGCGGGTCTGTGAGAGCTGTTGTTACTGTTACTGTTACTAATAAATTTTATTTGAAAGATTATCAGGAACTAGTTGGTGTGCTCCCGGTGTTAACGTATTGTCAGTATCACTCGTTTCACTATTCTGACTTTACTCCAAGTANAGTATATCTTCCCGAAATGAAATGAGAACGGAGCTCCACTTGCTTTGGTCACCTGTTCAATTTTGTTTTCATTCGAAAGTTTCAGGAACAGTTAGTGGTTGTGCTGTTCAATTGAAATTTCATTCGAACGTGTGAGAGTGAGTTAGCGGTTGGTTTTTGCCATCATTTCTTACTTGAAGTATCCGAAGCAGGGAGCTTTCTCATGTAACACAGTTTATTTATGAGAATAACTATAAAACTTGACTGTATTAGTGTTTTTCATACAGAGCATCGCTTTTCTGGTGTGTTGACGTAAACTGAGTGGTGCTCAGTGAAATCAGGGAAGTACCAAGTTATACCATATGAAATTCAATTTCAAGGGTGGATTCTGTTGATTCGGACGTTTTTTGGGATATTTTATACATGTGTATGCTCCAGCTCGATTGTTTACCTTGTACTCCAGCAGTTACAGAACCTTTCTAGGAAGCAGAACATCGATGAAGGATGAACGACAAAGAAGGAGCAAGCCAGAAAAGGAAAAGAACCCAGAGAAGGAGAAGAAAAAACAGTCATTCAAGGAGAGAAAGCTAGAAAGAAAAAAAAATCCACCATTAAAGTTCACAAGTCAAACTTTCGAATTGGTATATTGTGGTCTTCACTTCACTCTACTGAACAGACTCATAATTACAGGTCACGTTCAGTGAAGTAGGTGCGTTAGTCCGAGAAGTATTTGGACCGTTGGCGTTTGCTGTTACACCAATACATGGATCCCTGAACATAAGATGCGTTAGTTGTTGGGGTAGAAACCTGTTTGATCCTTCACTCCGTAGATCCAATTGAAAGTTAAGCATCTATTACTTCTGAACAGCATGGATACATGGAAAGCTCTCCTATATGACAACTCTGAGAAGCTGTAACCTGCTTGTATTGTTATCTAACACCCCCCTCTGTTACAGGCCACTCTTACAGAACACGAAAAATTTTTTGAGAGC